TCGAAGCCAGCAAGCATTCATGAGCTCAGAGATGCGCTCTCGATGCTTCCGGCTGCGTATGCTGAGGTCTTAAAACTAATTGACCTCGTGTTAACTCTCCCTGTGACAACCGCTCAAAATGAGAGACTGTTTTCCACCATGAAGAGAGTAAAAAGCGACTTACGGTCTCGCTGCGGGGACGAAAGGCTGAGTGATCTTTTGTTGTTGGCAGTTCTAAAAGAAGATGTGAAGGGAGTAAACATGGACGAAGTGATTAACGAATTCGCTAAAAAGAAAATTCGTCGCTACCCGCTGCTGCCGTAAACTCCTTTGGTTTCGTGGAAATGAAAACAATTGGCTTTGCAGCCTAAACCAGAGAACTGTGAATTTGCTTTATGCCTCATGGACTTCCATTTGAGAAATGTCATGCTTCTGATTATAACCATGGGTGTAGTTTCATTCATTCAAAAGGGTCCGGGTTTTCGAGTTCGAGCCGAGATGTGGACCACCTGTTGTCGGGCCTCTATGGCCCCACACCCAGCCGCAATTTAGTGTCTTAGCCTTAGATATTGACCGTTGTGCCAATCTCAAGCATGCACCTTCTTTCTCTCTCCATGTACAAAAATATATGTTGGTTCGTTTCTATTCTTGTCCCGTTCATGCCCACCCTTGCCATTTCGCCGTTTGGTTTTGACTCCGTATTGCCTTTGCGTTCAACCACCTAAATGTCTACTTCGTTTTCAAGATTCGGTAACATGGAGTTCCTTGTTCGTGTCAGCAAAAATCAAGTTGCAATGACAACTGCGATAGACGGATTGAAAAAACGCAGTCTAAAACTCGAACATGTGACACGGTTGGAAAGGGCCGTAACATAGGACGTACCATCAAGAGCAACGTACATGAAACCTTCATGAAACTTAATGGAAGAGCCCAAAGCCCCCCCCCCCCCCCAAATGCTACTTTCTGTTTTCTTAACCGTTTCTGTTGGAGTAAAATTAAACGGAAATGTTTATTAATACCTAGTTCGTCTTTTCTTTGTAGCGCACCCCATGACTTATTGCCTCACCCCCCAGTCAGGCGCCAGGCTACGGCCCTGGAAGGAGTTGGAATTACTTGCTACTTCTCCTCTATGCGTCTCCCCATTCTAAACAGAGAAGAATTGTGACAGCTACAAGTGAGAGAAAACATTTGGTCTTATAATCTATAACTTTGCCACGATTCCGCTTTCGAGAGGGATTAGAGTTCGACCACTTTCCCCACATTTCTTGAATCCATCGTCAGTATCATCCTTCCGGCCTTCTGACCAACCAGCGTCCAAGATTACTGCGAGGGCGACGGACAAAGAAAACGTTATATGAATTGCACTTGGAGGGTGGAAGGGAGGAGATCCGGAGGTTGGTGAAGGGTTCCGGACTTCGCTACTGCAGCGCTACTTCATTTAGCTGTGTGTCCGTGACACGGTACGTGCTGCTCATCACATCCATGCCGATGAATTGTTTAGAGAAACTTTCTTCAGGTATGAAGCAAGCAACTATTGGTAAATTTCTCGAATCGTTATTTTATCTGGCATTCCAGTAGGTACTAGGGGGAAATGCAATATTTTGCGGTCGATCTGATTCTTTCTTTTCATTCCGTCTGTCCGCAGTTACCATAGCGACCAGACGACACGACCCAATGCGCACGGGCAGATTTCCGCCTGAGTCGGGCTGCCCGTCTTCCACGAAAACATCCATTTCCTTTCCAGCCCTGGAGGTTGACAGATCCATAGTAGACGATGGAGGAGAGCGGCTCCTCCCGGCCGCGTAGACAGTGTTGCTAGGCGCACGAGTGAAATGCCGTATCTGGCATCCTACATTTCATATTGTCCTCCCATCTCCACGCGACGCGGAGGCGCGGACCATCGAGAACATGACTAGTTGTCCAGACCTTTTCATATAGGCCTAAGCCGAACCAATGACAGCTGAGGCGTTCCAGCTAAAGTGGTCAAATTTTAGTCACTTCCGTTGGGCTTCAGACTCCGACTTGCTTGAAAAAATTATTGCATGCTGGCAATCAAGGCTTATGGAAAAAATCCAAAATTTTGGCTCCCTGGTTCTAACGGATCTCGAGATATGCGGCCCCAAACTTCGCTCCCAAGAGGAAAAGTGGCCTTTAAGGTTAATGCGCTATCTTTGGTCCTAGTCGAGCATGAAACGCGTTTTGGACTCGTTTTGAGAATTAAATTTCAACTTTCCACGTTTTTTGAAACAGCTTAAAATTAAATTTGAAAAGTCCAAAATTGCCTATTTTCACCAACTTTGGCGGATCGTACTTCCTCTTTTAAGCAAGATATAAACTTGTAACTAGTGTCAAATGAGAGCTCTCTCCAAGCGCATTCTATTGATATATTACTCGTGTCGTTACGTTTAATTTTCGTGCCGGTGTATTTTTTTGAACTTTTGAATTCTGCAAATTCCCAAACGAAAGGTATGACTGAAATTACATCGATGGGAATCTTGGTTAAACAACTAGACCTATGCATATCTCACATTTGACTAATAAATATCGCTATTTCTATTATATGCTTGCATTAAGCAATAAATATCAATATTCAACACATTAATTGATTTCCAAACGCAACAATTTAGTCGGTACCTTTAACGCATGCATGCATGTACATAAGGTGTTGAGATGCATGTCAGCTCCTTTCAGCAACCCTGTCTACGTCATGCGATGCCCATTTAGAGGTGAATTAATGGTGCTTAAAGGTGCATGATTCCACCTTAAGTGAGGTAATGATCTGTGCTCGACCGTCTCAGAATTCAGTGAAATTCGGCAAAAGGTCGCATTATTTTGAGATTACCTACCAGGTAAAAAAAAACTTTTGCCTGTACTTCGAGCGGAGTGCAAGAAAAGAGAGTTTTAATTTGATGGGGTGGGAGGGTTGGGGACTGGGGGCACAAAATGGCCCCCAACCCCCAGATGCTAAATTCCTGACTACAGGATAATGATGTCACCACCGTATTTTGATTGGCCATAGCTTCCAAGGGACGATTGGATGCAGCTGACACTTGAAAGAGAAGTTCATGAGTCGAAGAGATTTTTTCACACCCGCAAGGTGGCGCTGTACGCCGATAGAGGGCGCTGTTGTCGACCGGAGGGCCCCCAATCTTCGTGCTTTGCCACTTTTTAGGTTAGATTTTGGAAAAAGGCTGTACTTTTTTGAGCCTTTAAACCTTGCATGGACCTTTCTGCTAAGTATCAGTTGTATCTGAGAACCCTTTCAAAATATTTGGTTTTGAAACCAATATAAAATATCTGAATTGAATTAAATTCGGTTTTAGGGCAAAACCGAGCAAGCTACTCTAATTGAATTTTGAGATAATGGATAATTACTGCATTCGAACGATCCACCTCTCAAACTTCGTTACGCGACGATGCACAGCTCAAAGAATTGTTCTGAGAAAAATCCAGACCGTCTCATCGACATCTTTCATGCGTCAAGAATCAAGATTCGATAAATCTCATCACTTTTGCTATGAAAAAAAATAAATAAATATTGCTTTCCCCCATAAAAAACTGGACATAAAAGATCCATCGGGAAGCCAGATCTGTCCATGGGCTCTCTCTCTCTCTCTCGTTGTGTTTCCACAAGTAAAGGAAATTTGCGTCTGTGTTTCTCATCGGTCTTTACTTTGAGGTCAATTCCCATCAATAGGACAGCCGCTTATAATCGTGGAGTATCGTAGGACGGAAGACAATGATTTGACAGAACTAATTGGCTGGCAGAACTAATGAATTCTCGTCGTATTACAACCTTTTGATTTTTACGAATTTGTGATTACAAATTTTCCGAGTGATAGAACGAGAAGACATAAAAACGTGGAATCAAACGAAAGGTATGAAAGGTGAAAATTTACTTTACGCTTGGGAAGTTCGTGGAAATGCCGATGCGTAAAAACGAGCGGGGGAAAATCCTTAAATGAATTGCAGGAAGAGAGCATTTCCGATCTTTCGAGTCGGTCGCGAGGAGAAAAGACAGCGACCGGACTCCTCACGGCATCGTCGAGGAAACTCGAAACGAGAGGTTGGAGGAGAGAAATACCTGTATGATCGGAAGAGGAAAACGTAGGATGCGGTAAAGAAGATCGATGGAAAGACGCTTTATCATTTCCGACAAGCATCGACGTGCAAAATACACCACAGGGGGTGGGGGGAGAAACATGCACCAGCAGAAATCCTCTCGTCGATGTTCCTGTTCTCAAGCTATCGGACGGTCGACGACGTGGAACCAAGACATGTATTGACGCATTCCATGTGAACAGGAATCGATTCCCCGTTTCGCTCGGATCTGACTAGAAAGGGGCAAACGATAGGGAGAAGCACACAAGCAGCGCAAGGACGATATGAGACGAAATTGCACAAAACCCGATTTCATTGGACCCTTCCTTTCTTCCGGATCCCATGACCTCGCGCCCCCTTTCTTCATCGCAATGGAAGAGAGTTCAAGGGGGAAGGAGACATAGCGACACGTCATGGAAATTCCCAGGTCGACGATGGAAATCTCGCGTCCGAGTCGCACTCTGAACCAGGACTGTTGGAAGCAGGAAGACGAGACTTTTTGAAGAAGAACCAAATCGGAGTGGCTGCTGAATGGGAATGGGATCTCTTCGATTTCATTCGCGTTCGTTCCGATCGTTGCTTTGTTTTCGATCGTTTGTCAAATGTCGCCGTACCGTCGGGGTGAACCATCTCTCCGGAGAGATGGGTGGGGAGCTCTCGTTTCACCTCGTCCTTGAAAAGAACGCGGGTCAGGTGCGTGTAGGAAAGCTCTCGAAGGTTGCCGCGTAGGACGTGGGGGTTTTCTTTTTCTCGGGGAAAGAAAGAGGCCTCCTGAATCCTCTCCCTCCGAGCGTCTTGTTTGCTGTGCCTGGGAAGACTCCTTTCACTATTCACGGTTCCTCTCCTGACGGGATGCCACGTATCGAGAACCTCCCCCACGTACTGCAACTGCGTAGGAACCCAGGGTATAAAAGACACGGATGGAAGGAGGGACGACTCATCGTAGATCTGCAAGGACAAGGGAAAACATGATGAAGTCTCTCATCCTTCTACCCGCTCTTCTGTTGCTGGCAAATGCCGAATCCTCAAAGGTCAGTGCAGTTTCCGATGGCGTCCCCATGTCCCCCCAGGGTTCTGCCTGTCCACTCTCTTTCCTTCCGTTCCGCTCAGCGGTTCCTCTTCTCCTTGGGAGGAGGTGGCTCGGTCCAGGTGGCCGCGAGTGCGGAATTGGCAGCGGAGTTGAATACAGACTTCTCCGCTGTCATCGGCTCCGTGGAGAACATCTTCAACATCACCAAGGACCAGGCCCAACAGATCCTCACCCGCATGAACGCCGCCGCGGCGAAATTCCAGAACCATCCGCTTTTCCAGAAGATCAAGGCCAACCTGCAGGCCATCGCATCGGGAGATTCCAGCAAAATCCAGGCTCTCTACGACCAGGTCGCGCCTCTGATCTTCTGCCTCCGTTTGGCGCAGCTGTTCGGGACCACCGTCGACGCGATCTTGAAGCAAGGTCCCCAGCAGTTTCAATCTTCCCTCCTGATGGCGTACGAGATCGCCAAGTCCGTAGCGGAGCAGGACATCGCCTTCAAACTGGCACTCCTCCAAGCGGGTGTGGACACCCTCAACGCGATCTACGATCGATTCAATGCCGCCAACCAGATCTGCGCCGTGAGTTCCGAGCCGCCGCTGTTTTTTCTCTCCCGACGACGGTAAGTTGCTGTCCAGAGTGAAAGCCTGTGATGATTCTCTGCTTACAGGCCCAGGGCGCAGCTAATGCGATGATGCAGAAATTCGGAGACCTCTTCCTTGCCCTAAGGAATGGAGCGACCGCCAACGCGGACCAAGCCGGCGATCTCCTCCAACGCATGGCGCAACTGGCGGCTTGTCGCTGGGAAACGGTTTGGCCGGACGTGCAGAGCTCCGTCCAGGGGTTCCAGTCGACCATGAACTCGTTCTGGACTAATCTGGTGTCACAGGCCCAAAACAACATGAACGCCCTCACCGCCGCTGGCAACAGCTTCGTCAACCTGCTTGTCAATACCGCCCAAAGCATCTTTGGAGGACTCCTCGGGCTCTTGGGCAGTCTTACCTCGGCCATCTTCGGCTCCTGCACGTCCTGTTCTTCTGGCTGATCGTCACTCCGTTCCTCCAGATTCCGTCCCACGTCTTGCCTAATAAATATATCAAGCAAAGCACTCTCACCTTGTTCCTTGTACCGTACGCACGCGTGGAACGCCGTCATTCCTTCGCCCGCCCACCCGATGGAGCTTCGAGAATTCCGCTGTAAAGCCATGGAATTCCCAAGTGACGACGCGAAGGCGTCCGTCTGACCACCATCGGAGAAATCCCAGACGAATCCGTTTTTCCGTTCCTCCGTGGGTACTTTCCGCTCTTCGATGCGGTCCTTACTCACGTACGATGTACGATCGAGAGCCCAGTTTCCGATTTCATTCCGAGCACGTCATCTTTCCTGGGGAGTCCAATTGCACAGGATCGACAGGAGCCCACCGCTCGCGTCATCGACGCCTTCTCCATCTTTTCGCTTCGCCGTCGCAACGACGGCGGCACGATTTCAAACCCCGTACTGAGGGGAATCGTGCTTCTAAAAAGGGTCAATCTGCTCCTAGTGTGGCAGTCCTCGTGATGGCTCTCGCTGCGTTCATTGCAAAAGCTTCTGGTCTTGCGCATTCGTTTGGACACGGTCGCGATGGACCTTGGGTGCAGATGATGAATTACAACTGGAAGGAGAGCCGTGTGATGGAGGATATGCAAAAAATAACGATCAGGACCGAACTTCAAACTAATTCATTGCGTCAAACTACCGTTGAAATCCTGTGGAAATGGAAAACCGGGAAAGTCTTACATCTTTGAAAAGGCTCATGCGAACACCGATGCTTCGTGGAAGAGATGTTACGGTCAATCTGCTCAGGATGAGGCAGTTTTCGAGAGGGACGTTTTTCTAGAGGGTCGGCCTTGATAGGCCGTGTGAAAAAAAAAGAGCATGCAAGTGGACATGTGAGAAAATCTTCCGGTTCCTTCCGGCTTCAAATCTTTCACGAACCCATTGGCAGGAAAATTCCATGTGTAGTCGGTTCTTCTGGATCATTTTGTGACCGACTCTGAAGCACAGCGGTAGGGGGGAGACAATGATTTCAACGAAAGAGAATTTCACTGCTCCTATATCCACTGCCGAATAGAAGAAGCAAGATCCCTTCGAAGCATCCACTTGCGTCGGCTTTTCGACGAGACTCGGTGCCCTATATCCGCCCGTTTTCTTTTCGTCTCGCCCACCCTGTGGTGGCCATTTAGGGCTACACATTCGGAGATCCCTTGTTGACTGGGGTTGGGCGGGGGCCAGAAAGGGTCGCGATTGGGATCGGAGACGAAGAGAAAGCAAGAGAAAACTCTCTCTATCGAGACCTAGTGATTCATCTCTTAGGAGAGGTCCTTTTTCGCTCATGGCGAGCCTCGAGCGAGAAACGGGCAATTCCATGCATGAATTTCGGGAAGGAATGGTCGGGCTCCGGCAGCGTTGAGTCCTTTCCTCCGCCGGACGCGTTCAGAGCAGGGATTCCCGGCGGCGCGCACCTCTTTCCGTCGCGCTGATGAAACTCGCACGTGGATGTGCTTGCGAGTCGCCCATATTTCCGCCGGAAATGCGTTTGGGTGGATTTTGAAAAGTTCACCTCCGAATCCCGATGTCGATTCTCTGAAATGGCGACATTGTGGTTTTTACTTTCTGGATTTTCCCCTGTAAATCAGCAAATCTTTCACGAAAATCAACCACCCGTGGGTCTCCTCTGATGCTTTATCTCGACTGGCGACAGACAAAGTGTGGGTGAAAGAGCATTTTCTTCTCCCTTTTTTTTATTTTAATGGTACCGATCTCGTTCTCTCACGGGGGGGGAAATATATCCGTTAATTTCTGGGTCCCATGCCCCACTGACGCTGGGGGGGGGGGGGAGAAACATGCACCAGCAGAATCAACCTCTACCTGGGTTTTCCCTCCTCATTTTCTTTCCAACCTTTGTTTGGTTCCTACGGTGGTTGAAGTGATTAATCGCCAAGTACTCCCGTCCTTCCTCTTATTCGTGAGGGAATTTTCAGGGCATCAGGCGAAGTATGGCCTGCAGCGTGAACGACAATCGCAACTCCGCCTTCTACCGATCTCACACGGTGAAGTTTAACCTTTCCTTTTAAGTGTGTGTGGAAGTGTTTTTTTTCTGCGTATTTTTTTTATGGTACCGATCTTGTTCTCTTACGGGGGGAAATAAAACCGTTCCTTTCTCGGAGACCGAGAACGGTAACAGGGGAACTGTTTTTTTTTTTTTAATCTGTTTTCTCATTTTTCCTTTTCTCTGTTTGTGCCTTTCGCTCTTCTAGGTGGTCCTTACGAATGATGATGGATTGGGAGCCGCCTTGCCTGATCTCCTGACTTCGTTTGATTTTTCTTTCATCCTTTGACTCTGCTTATCGTGATGTGTGGCATGGTACCACCTTTTCGGTTATGAAACGCCACCTGGTGGATATTCTATGGCTGCTTGATGTGAAACTTTAATAATCCGCCTATCCTCGATGAGTCCATTGCCTCATAGCTTCCATTAGAGTAATATGCATTTATTACCAGATGAATTTTCCATAGACTGGAGAATCTATTCTTTCCCTCGTTTCACGTTCAATTTTCACGTTAGGTTATGTTTGGATATGTTCTAATAGGTGACTAATCTCATCATGCCCGTCATCGCTCCATCACCGTTATTTACGAAACCTTTGATCCAGCGCGCTTGTCGACTTAATCGCCGCCTTTCGCATCGTTCGGTGGTCGTAGCTTCTCCCTCCGTTCCGTGCTCGAGTGGCAGAAATGCGCTGTGAAATGGGCCAGGAGCAGACGAACATTAGCGTTATTGTTATTACGCGTGAAAGATGGTGATCTTTGTCTTTTTCGGGAAATGTATTAATACAATTGTCAAGACTTTCCCATTTTCATTATGGTCCGGATTCTGATAATCCGCGGTTCGGATCGGATCCGACGGTGTCAGTGCGGATTTTGGTCGGTTTCGGTTAGGAACCGTAGATTTCGATTCGGATCGGATCGGTCTCGGTTGTAAAACTGTTCCTGCGGATCGGATGCGGTCGGATTTACTCCATTGAAAAAAATCCGCGAAATTCCGATAAATCTGCTTTGAAATTTTGGGATGAGCCGGAAGTGGTAAGAGAGATTGCTCGCTTGTCATTTATGCATTGAGAAGAGGATAGGGCTTTCTCTGGGATCCAGAAATGTCAATTCTACGTCCAGACAAAAGATTTTTATATGAATGGAGAAAGTAGGTAGCAGTTCTGCCTCCGGAAGACAGACTTCCTGCTCGTGCCTCTTCCCCCATCCTGTCCCTAAAAAGAAAAAAAAAAAAATTTTTCCTGTACCACTGCAGCATTGCGTTAGAAATCTGCGCACGCGCAGATTTCCACCTGGGTCGGGCTGCCCGTCTTCCACGAACACATCCATTTCCTTTCCAGCCCTGGTTGTTGACAGATCCATAGTAGACGATGGAGGAGAGCGGTTCCTCCCGGCCGCGTATATAGTGTTGCTAGGCGCACGAGTGAAATGCCGTATCTGGCATCCTACATTTCATATTGTCCTCCCATCTCCACGCAACGCAGAGGCGCGGATCATCGAGAACATGACTAGTTGTCTAGACCTTTTCATATAGGCCTAAGCCGAACCAATGACAGAGCACTATAAATTTCAATGTTGGATGGTTCGAATGCCGTGAATATATAGAGTGATTTAAAAAAAAAACGCTCTTCCGTTTTCAATGGGAGAAACACTGTTTCACAATTTTCGAGAAATGTTTACATTGGCTACGCGATCGACGTTGGACGGTTATAAGGTGTTTTTAGATGCATGTCAGCTTCTTTCAGCAACCCTGTCTACGTCATGCGATTCCCATTTAGAGGTGAATTAATGGTGCTTAGAGGTGCATGACTCCACCTTAAGTGAGGTAATGATCTGTGCTCGACCCTCTCAGAATTCAATGAAATTCGGCAAACGGTCGCATTACTTTGAGAATACCTACCAGGCAAAAAAGAAACGTTTGCCTGTACTTCGAGCGGAGTGCAAGAAAAGAGAGTTTTAATTCGACGGGGTGGAAGGGTTGGGGACTGGAGGCACAAAATGGCCCCCAACCCCCAGATGCTAAATTCCTGACTACAGGATAATTATGTCACCACCCTATCTTGATTGGCCATAGCTTCCAAGGGACGATTGGATGCAGCTGACACTTGACAGAGAAGTTCATGAGTCGAAGAGATTTTTTCACACCCGCAAGGTGGCGCTGTACGCCGATAGAGGGCGCTGTTGTCGACCGGAGGGCCCCCAATCCCCAATCTTTCCTACTTTTTAGGTTAGATAAAAAGGCTGTACTTTTTTTGAGCCTTTAAACTTTACATGGACCTTTCTGCTAAGTATCAGTTGTATCTGATAGCCCTTTCAAAATATTTGGTTTTGAAACCGATGTAAAATATCTGAATTAAGTTAAATTCGGTTTTAGGGCAAAACCGAGCAAGCTACTCTAATTGAATTTTGAGATAATGGATAATTACTGCATTCGAACGATCCACCTCTCAAACTTCGTAACGGGACGATGAAAGAATTGTTCTGAGAAAAATCCAGACCATCTCCTCGACATCTTTCATGCGTCGAGTATCAAGATTCGATAAATCTCATCACTTTTGCTGAAAAAATACAAATCTTGCTTTCCCCCATAGAAAACTGAACATAAAAGATCTCTCGTTGTGTTTCCACAAGTAAAGGAAATTTGCGTCTGGGTTTCTCGTCGGTCTTTACTTTGAGGTCAGTTCCCATCATTAGGGCTGCCGCTTATAATCATGGAGTATCGTAGGACGGAAGACAATGATTTGGCAGAACTAATTGGCTGGCAGAACTAATGAATTCTCGTCGTATTACAACTTTTTGATTTTTACGAATTTCTGATTACAAATTTTCCGAGTGATAGAACGAGAAGACATAAAAACGTGGAATCAAACGATAGGTATGAAAGGTGAAAATTTACTAAATTCTGCATAATTTGAGGGAAATATAAAATAATTTGGGAGGGAAATTTCCCAGAAAAAAAAATATCGTGATTTTCGACTGACCTGATGACGGGTGAAATAAGCTCGGTTAGTTGCAAGCATTTTA